TATGCAGGGCTGCTTCAGGAGCCTTTCGTTTGTGTCTTTGCTCAAGCTCACCGCATCCATCTCAAGACATATCAAGACCAAACATAGAGGATTTCCACATAGGTGAAGACAGAGAGAGGGAGATGGACACCTTGGACGAAACAGGACAAATCATATACTTCCAGAGACCCGACAGGACACCTATTTAAGACCTTTAAGAAGCTTAACATCAGCAGCTCGATTTTGGCACCCACCTTACCTCTCCCTGGAAAGTTGACATCGTCCAGGATTGACAGTTCACATCACTTCACTCAGTTCCGCGTGATTTTTAGACGTGGTGCTAGCGAATGCACACTTGACATCGGCACCTATCACAGGCGCGAGAACCGCCTGTGGTTGCCCTGCATCAAAATGTTTAGAACAAAACTTAAGGCACTTGCAGTTCTGCTTCTTTTTTCCTCTGACCGCTTGGTTTCCTCATATGATTGGTCTCACTGCCTGCCGGTGCCACTTCAAGTCGTCAGTCTCCATGGTGTTTCTGACCCGTTTCTCTCCCATCACGGCTCGGTCGACCTTGGTTCTTTGAACGGCTTGAAGAACACACCAGGCTTTTGTGAAGTCTGTTGCGAGGATTGATTTGGAGACAATGCATATAGTATATAAAGAAGCTACTAGTAACAAGTGCATTACTAGTAGTAACAAATACGCCTTTTTATAGATCCTTAGGTTTCGAATCTCAAGCGTGGACGGGGACGGGCCAAACATAACCATCCGAAGGCAACCTCCAGAACCGTATAGATTTTGCATGTTCCGGATTCCAGACTCGAAAGCTGACACTCCAGGACGGGAGCTCCTCTCCACCATGGGGGACAGGGTTGTGGGTTTGCAACCATGAGCTTGCCTTGCTGAAAAACAAGCATGCAACAGGATGCGACAAGAAGAGAGAAGCATTCTTTGGTGAGGAGTTGCAACTACGTATGTATATATCATCATATTATACTATTATACTATACAGTATATATATATATATGCACATACATATTGTTTTTCCCTTTGTCTCCTAGCAGGAGAGAGGGAACCCGAGCCGTGCTCTCAGCAGTCAGACCCGTTTCCTCTCCAGACATCAACATGTTTGCAAGAATGTCCGAAATGGCTACGCATCAAGACCGACTTGAGGCAACCGTTTGATGATGTTCGGTTTCTTATAAGGTCCTTACATAGGAGAATGGTTCAACCGCACTGAATCTTGGACACGGTTTCTTTCGGACACCATTCTTTCAGCTCCGAGATGCGAAAAAGAAGCCTGAGAAGGCTGCGAAGCCTCGATGGCGTCAGGCAGATTTGAACTTGGTATGTATCAGTTTGAACTATTTGCGAGAGAAAAAAGGAAGGTGATACCGGTAAGGGTCCGTTGTACAAGGCCCGCTTTAAAGAGGGCCTTATTGAAGGGAATTCTTAGCTTTCTTTCTGTTTCTCAGCAGACTTTTCCTCGATCCCACGAAGCTGTTCCAATAGTTCCTTTCCTTGAGTGTTTGAGCAGATCTAACTTGTTTCGTGACTCCAGGCGTGGGGTCTCCGGTCTCGACACACACACACACATATACATATACATAATCATACATACATAATTGTATAAATATTAGACAAGTCATGTAATTGTTACTACTAGCTTCTTGTAACTACTAGTAAGGCACCTGTTCCTAGTAGCGATGCACTTGTTACTACCAGCGAACCTTGTTACTACTAGTAAGGCACCTGTTCCGGATGTTTGTTGGAGACTTGAGTCTTCCAAATTCTCCTGGCTGCTGTAATGTGAGCTTCGACAGGATTCTTTCATCACAGACACGAAGTATATTATGTGGTGTTATTGGACTGAATCCCACATCAGCTCCTCCATTTATCGCGGCATTCTTCACAATAGACTAAGCGATCAAAGCTACCAGATCGAAGATTTCCCAGACATGACTCCCACATCTAAACAACAATTGGTGTCGATATTTACGAAATACTTTACTTACCTATTGACCCGTCAAAAAAGACTGCTTGCTTGCCGGCTTGGCACACCGACATTTCGTGCTTCACCACAACTCGTTCATGCCAGGGTACGGCAAAGCGTGATACCTTTCCTTGGATCAACAGCCAAATCATCACCGTTTCCGAGTTACCACCTTAGCATCCACTGCAAAGCCGCCTGTTTGACTAGCAGGGGCTGTTGGGATTGCGCGTAATTTTCATGTTTTTTTAAATATACAGTATATTTCAATGTAGTTTCACAAGCACTTGCTTGGTGCACCCAGTATGCCCCAATGTTTTTGTGATATGAGGTCAGGCAACCTGATGGAGTTGGCCCAAACCATCGAGGCTTGTGGCCATGGTCAAAGCATAGAAACCCACGTGCCCTGGAGCCTTTTGCTGGCTTTGCAGGTATTTGATTTAGACAAACAATATTGGTTTCAAGGAGATTGGTATGTGTAGGTTGGAAAAGAAACTGGAGGTCGGACCCACAAAATATGTGTTGGTCGCCCCTCATCTTGAAGATTGCTGCTCTCCAGCGCAAATTTGCGGGATATGCCTTTGGAACCCAAAGCTGGGTTTGGTCTTGAGAGTCTTGAGGCCTACACATCTCAGATGAACCTGGTCAATATCTCTACCGCGTTTGGGGCCTTTTGGGCGATTGTTGGATTTCCAGACACCAAGCACAGAGAGAAAAGGAAGAGATGAGAGATACAGATAGACAGGTTATCAGCTCAAGCGAATCCAGTCAGTTGATAGTAGAAGCAATTTGTTCTTCAACTCTTTCATGTCCTGAAACAAATACATTTGCCTGGCATGAAATGAAAGGCTCTCTCACTTGCTTGGCAAATTATATCGCTGAGGTTTCACCGGATAGCGCGGTTGTGGACTAGCAATGATGACCAGGACGCTGCCATGGTATCACAAAGAGTGGTCGAGGCAGCTGGCTGTGGGGCAAACTTAAAGGTTTCTTGAGCTGTCGGTCCAGCGAGTGAGGTGTTTTGCTGCCCACTTGCTTGATTTGATTGAACACAGTGACAACTTTAGACTCTAGACTTAGACTGTGTTCAATGCGGGGATGAATCGGTGTGCTTGGTACTGGTGGTTTTATCACTCATAGGAAACACGGGCAGCAGTGTGATTGGCGCTTTAGGCCACAAAGAGCATAAAGACGAACAAAGTGAGTTGTCTCCAAATTAGGTGTCAACATATCAGTTGCTGTTGGTCGATTCTCAAGAATACAGGGCTCCGTCTAATCCACTGTATCTGACTCGTGAACATCAATTCCACTTCCAAGCTGACCCACAAGGGACAGTCTCACGCACAATTCGACCTTGACGATTCTCCGAGTGCAGGGCTTGATCAAGCAGGCAAATACCGTGTTGGCGAGGGCCTGGAACTTAGGATTTCGGTTTGAACTTCGTTCAACAAATATCAATTCAGAAAGAACATCGTGCAACAAACCCTCTTTTGTCGGCTCTTCCAACACTTTGAGGCTGTTCGTTTCTAAGGCCAGTGCCAGCGGGACCAAGCCTTCTTCCCAGGTGCGGCACTTTTTGGAGGTCTGCGGTAAGGAACGGAAGGGAAGGCTAAGGCTAAGGAACTCTGGCTTCCTGATCCGCATGTTCCGTAGGCTTTGGCCAACATCACCTGGGCTATGGCAACTTTGAACATTGTTGATGAGCAGCTGCTAAAGGCCGCAGAAAGGGATGTCGAGCAGCTCAACCATCAACCTTCCGTTGGCTAGAATTGGTACTGATTTTTGGACTACAGCAAGCAGGCATGAAGAGTGTTAGCAAACACCCTCGGCACTATATGTATATTATATATGAATACACACTATAACAAATGATACAAATGGCACGCACTTTGCATTTCTTCAATGTATTTCAAGGGCACGACCTTCAGTCCGAGTGAATCTCTGCTTAAGTTGAGTGGATGTATGCTGGAGAATTGTTGGGTAGTGGGCCTTGGCCCCGAACTGTTGGTAGTGGCGACTATATAGGGCCTAGGGATGAGGACACAGGGATAGCGGACAGACGTGTTGCATTTTTATAGTAGATGGTTACTATTTGTTGTTTGTACTCAGCAAGGAGGAACAAACAGATTGTGTTTTAGAACATAGGTGCTTTGTTCTGCGAGCCACTGAAATTGGCTGAGCATTTTGCACCAGTTCTTTTTCTTTGCAGCCATACTTGGATCCTGGAATGTTAGTTCAAGTCTTCAGGAAAGACATCATTCTGTTGTCAAGCATGTGCGATTTGTCAGCAGTTCCACGAGAGATCAAGCCTATCTGAATAATTGCCTGCTTTCTTGGCCATGGCGCGCATGCCTCGTGTTCTCAGAGCTTTGCTCTTTTCTTACGTTGCTTTGCAGAGCGTTTGCAATGCAGAGCTGCAGGATGAGTTGAAAGCAGCCATGGAGCCTTGGCGATTGTTCGCTGCTCGAAGAGCCTGTTCCCTGGAAGACTTTCGTAGGTCTCCAATCGTAGGTCTCTTCTGATCTCTTCATTGCATAAACGGAAAGAGGAAGACATGACACTTCTGATATCTTCTTGTTGGCCCCCCCGCTCCGTCGACTAAGACATGCTGTAATAGAATGTAATGGATGGACGAGTCAGCGCCAGGTGTTTCTATACCCCCAACTACTAAAGGTCTAGGGAAACCATAAAAGACCCCCAGTTTTGGGGTCTACAATGGGTCCCTGGGGTCCCTTGCTTGTAGTAGGGGGTATGTGTTTCTCACCTGGTCATTGTGTGGCTTTCTCCGTGTTGCTCGCAAGTCAAACTTGAAACCGCTGCGAGATTGCTGCTGTTGAAAGATCAGCTTGCTTGAGGTGAACTCAAACTTTCTACGCCCTCTGAAATGCATACTGACTCATGCTGACCACCAAAGAAGCACCAACTGGTTATAGTCATACAGTAATTTTGTCAGCTCTCCAATCATTACGTAGACCCTTGGATCTCCAACCGAATCTTGGGCTTTGCCAAGGAGCGTGTGGCCGACCAAATGCGGGACTGGGTCTCCAACTTCAAGTCGTGTCAATCTCTCTGTTTGTGTTACAGAGTAGGGGAGCCCCACATAGTTCGTTTCTGTGCACAACTTCTTTTGGTACTGCACTATCACAGTATCCAGCCTAGTGTCTTGCTACATTTGCAGGACAAATATGACATGGGCTTGGCGGCGGCATTTTACTCGCCCAAGCTGAACTTCACAGTGGCCTCCGGCTACACAGATGCAGGCACAACACAACTAGGGCTCAATGGAAGAATATTCATTGGAGATGAGTGCAGGACAACCAGTTCCTAACGGAGAGCCTTTCTCATTTTCACTGGTGCACTGCTTTGTAGATTCCGTTGTGGACTCACTGTGGGAAATGTCTGTCAAGTTGGAACATCAAACACTCGGAATGTAATCCATCATCATTCACATGCAACATAAGCAGGACTTGGCATGGGACACATGGAACTTCCTAATTCATCAACCATTGACCGCCTGGACATAGGCTTGGGCATGGGAAACAAGACCCGGCTTGCTCAAGTTGATGACCTCTATGTCTCTTAGCAATTATAGATTTGGCTTGTCCAGTTGCTCTGCATGTGTGAATGTGCTCCAATGCCTTGTCCATGTCTGACCTTGAAGGGTTTCATTTTACATTTGGAGGGGTGCACACACATTTAGCACGCATCTTCAATCCAAGGTCTGGGGCTCAACCACAAAGATGATCACAGCCCCGGCTGTGCTGCAGCTCGTGGAGCAGGGGAAGGCCCAACTGACGCAGATAAGTATGAGTAAAAACCTTACTGTTGTTTCTCAGCATAGAGAGCCTACTGCTGCTGCTTTGTGTTAAATCTGCATGTTTAGCGACTTCTCACATGCGTCTCTTGCTTCTTTGCCCATGAGGTGAACCTCACTGACCCGATTGCCTTGCACATTGATCCCATTTTGATAGCTCTGAACGGCACTCGTTTAGAGGATCACTTTGGCTCTCCAATCCATGGTGTTCAAATCCAACATCTGCTTCACATGACGAGTGGCATCCAGGATTACGATGGCGAGGCCTTCTCTCGCGCCCAGTTTGCCAATCGTTCCAAGGCTTTTGGACCCATTGAGATCATCGGGAAGTTCGTAAGTCCAACTCTTCAATCGGTCCCAGGGCAGCAGCAGATGTATTGCAGCACCAACTACATCCTTCTAGGCCTGTATTGACCAAGCTCAAAGGAAGAAATGTTGAACAATATAATGGAGGGAATACATTCTTTTGGGGTGGATGCAGGATTGGTCTTGGCCACTCATTACCATCAGCCCGACTCTTCCTGGGCATGGCAAAACTACGACCAAGCTTCCGTGGTTCCGAAGGCACAACTGCGAGAGTGGAGCCTAAAAGAATGGTGTTGCATGGTGAGCCAGTCATCCAATCAGTGCTTTTGAAATACTTCACGTTTGTTGACAGACCTGAAGCACTGATAAACCATGGGCAGTGTTCACAGGCTTTGCAGAAGGTCTTTAAGAACTCCAAGTTTGTGATGTCGGGCCCCTGCAGCCAATACACGCCAGTCCACGGCTTCATGGAGTTTTATCCATCCGCCCAGTTGCCTAAGCAAGACGTATGGGACGTGAGCTGTTTAGGTGGTTGGACTGCAGGGAACTATGTAGGCTCTGTCGCAGATGTGGCTCGATTCACCTACGAGCTTTACAACAAGAAGAAATCGAGCATCCTTTCCTCGGCCTCCCAAGCGCTCCTTACCAACTTTAGCGCTCCTCACATGGGTCTCTTTGCTCAGATTGATCGTGGTCGGAAAGCCCTCAAGATACAGTCCACGCAGAGGCAAACAAATTCAGATTGAATCCAAGATGAAAGAACATGACGCAAACTTTTGGGGCGGCTTGAAGGCCACTCCTGCTGCTGCTGTCGCCTCTGATACTACATTGCTACATGATACTACGACAATGACTACCACTACCACACAATTGCCACCACCGGGTTTGGGTTGCCAACTTTTAATTGGGTGGCTACTAGATGTCATTGTTCCACGATGCTGTTTGCTGTCTTCACGAAACAATGACATGTGGAACTTACTCGCATCCGTTTATGTTCAGTCCATCGGAGTACAAACAAACACTTCCACATGTAAACTGCGATTTCAAGCCATTGTAGTGCCTGTACTGTATCATGCTGCAAGGCTGGTACCAAGCAAATACTCTGCAACACATCATATGTTTATGTTCACGGATCATACCTTGAGGGAGGGCAAGTGCTTTCAGGTCCTTTCCCCATGAAGTTCTATGGAATGGGGACTTTTAACCTCGCTTGGAGCGTGGGCACTTCCGATGCTTATGGACATGTCGGAGACACCTATGGCTATCAATCGCAAACAACCTATATTCCCGAAGATGACTTTGTGATCACCGAGTCTTGGAGATCACTTTGAAGTATCCGTTCGGTTGGTTCAAGAGACCGCCAGGTGTCCCCCCGTAGGGTTGTTTTGGGAATCCTTGTGGCTTTAGAGGTGCTTCTTGATGTTTGGCGACTTTTCAGTTTGTTTGGCACGTCCCAACTCTGGAGCACCACCAACAAGTGCTCTTTCTGTGCATTGCTGAAGGTGGCCACCAATGTGGAGACTACCAAACAAGCGCAGCCTGCTGATTTCACGTGCTTGGCCTATCATGAGCTCAAGGTGAGTCGTGGCATGAACATTCAGCAAGCTTGTTATGAGACTGTTTGGGTGGGTCTCCTGCACGAGACACCTGGAGACATATCGGCTAACATCAGTTTTCAGTTTTCAAGGCCGTTTTGACTGGACGCCCAAAGCCTCATTGCGCCATGGTCATACCTCAGCGGTTGCTCGGCCTTGCTTTGACACATACTGTATCCAGTCCTTCCCAAGCAGTTGCAAACAGGCCGTTTAGGTCCTAGGAGTCCTAGGTTTGTTGTATTGTCTTCAGTATATACCCTTGCTTTGCCCCGTGCATGTTTTTGCCACAGGGTCGGAAACGGAACGTGTAGTCGTGCTAATTTTTACAACCGATATATTTTACATTATTTTACAATATTTTACACTTTTCCGACCCGGTGGCCATAGATGTCAATGTTATGTAGACACTATCTATGACTATGATTACTATGATGATGATGATGATGATGATGATGATGATGATGAGGATGAGGATGAGGATGAGGATGAGGAGGAGGATGAGGAGGAGGATGAGGAGGAGGAGGAGGAGGGAGTTGTTGATGTGACGGCAGAAGATTCTACGGGGTTTCGGAAACAAGATGGAGCCCACGAACCCGAATGCAAACACGATCGAACATATGTCCAAATGACACTCTTGTAGGACACTCTCGTGGGACACTCTTGTGGTTCACTCTTGTACGAAACTCTTGTGGGACACTCTTACGGGACAATCTTGTGGGACACTCTTCTGGGGCAGTCTTGTAGGAAACTCTTGTGGGACACTCTTATGGGACACTCTTGTGGGACACTCTTGTTGTGGGACACTCTTACGGGACACTCTTGTGGGACACCTTTCTAGGACATTCTAGGACGCTCTTGTGGGACGCTCTTGTCGCTCACCTGCGACATGCCGCGTTTACACCAGCATGTTTCGCGCTCCCCAGTGGCACGGCGCATCGCAAACGCACTTTCCACCAAGGCCGCGTAAATCCTCATGGCGCTGCGACATCACGGACGTAATTCCGCCACGCGGTCCGCCACATACTAGAAGCAAACATATCACATGATACCGCCAATCATCCCGCTCACCAGTGACACGCCGCGTTTGCACCAGCATGTTTCGCGCTCCCCAGTGGCACGACGCCACGCAAACGCACTTCCCACCAAGGCCGCGCAAATCCGCGTGGCACTGCGACATCACAAACGTAATTTCGCCACACGGTCCGCCGCCCAGAAGCAAACATATCACATGCTACCACCAATGATCCCGCTCACCAGCGACACTGTGCGTTTACACCAGCATGTTTCGCGCTCCCCAGTGGCACGGCGCCACGCAAACGCACTTCCCACCAAGGCCGCGCAGATCCGCGTGGCGCTGCGACATCACAATCGTATTTTCGCCACGAACAAAGTCCTATTCCGCAACTCTCCATTCTTCTGAAACTTTTCTTCCGCAACTATTTGGTACTCTTCCGCAACTACTCTTCAGAAACTATTCTTCAGAAACTATTTTGGGATCTTCAGGAACTATTTTGGTTTCTTCAGGAACTATTTCGCGATCTTCAGAAGCTATTTTGCGATCTTCAGAAACTATTTTGCGATTTTCAGAAACTATTCCGCGATCTTCAGAGACTATTTCGCGATCTTCAGAAACGGTAGGTGGGTGGGATATTGACGTACCTTGTGACCGCTACGGTATATACATGCTTGTTTTGCGATCTGCAGAAAGTTTTTCGAGCAGGCTTGATGTTGCTCTTCGACTCTTTGTAGTTTCCGAACATCAGTTTCTGAAGAACGCCGTAGAGTTTCCGAAGATTAGTTTCCGAAGAATAGTTCCCGAAGAAAGCCTTAAAGTTTCCGAAGATCACTTTTTAGTTGCCGAAGATTAGTCTCCACTTAACAGTTTCCGAACACCGTAAAGTTTCCGAAGAAAACCGCATAGTTTCCGAAGATTAGTTTCCGAAGAAAGCCGTAAAGTTTCCGAAGATTAGTTTCCGAAGAAAACCGCAAAGTTTCCAAAGATCACCTTTTAGTTTCCGAATAAAACTTTGACCTTTTCGCCACACGGTCTGCCCACGCACTAGAAGAAAATACATATATATATATATCATATCACATGATACCAATCATCCCGCTGACCAGCGACACGCCTCGTTTACACCAGCATGGCTCACCCTTCAGCGGCATGGCGCCACACAAAGGCACTTTCCACCAAAGCGTGCCCCCCAGTGGCACGGTGCCACGCAAACGCGCTTTCCACCAAGGCCGTGCAAATCCGCAGGGCGCAGGCGAGGCTTCGAACCACGCTTCAAGTCTGCAAAACGAGCGTTTCGTACGCTTCAAGTCTGCAAAACGAGCGTTTCGTACGAGACCGAGCGTTTCGTACGCGACTTCCTCCAAAAGTCACGCCAGTCACGCTTCGAGCCTGCAAGACGAGCATTTCGCGCGAGACTTCCTCCAAAAGTCACACGTCAAGTCTCCAAAACAAGCGTTTCGTACGAGACTTCCTCAAAAACTCACATGTCAAAGTCTGCGAAACAAGCGTTTCGTACGAGACTGTCAAGCGGAAACACCCATCAGAGCACACACATCAAGCAGCCCTGCCAAGCAGTTTCGCGATTCCAGAACGCCCGCTCACACGCCAGTCCCAATGTCACAGCGACAGTCACCTCTAGCGCAACTCACAACCTCACGATTCCCTGCGCCTGCCACGAAAGTTTCCGCGTCCACGCGTCTAACGCGCGCAAAGTACTGCGCCTGCCACGAAATGTCACATCTGTCACACCTTGCTTCACGATTCCCTGCGCCTGCCACGAAAATCGCACTTCCACACCTGAAAGCCCCGCACAAAGTACGGCTGCGACGAAAAGTGGCAATATCATATCATGTGAGCTTCAACAAAATTTGCACCACACCACACGTTTGGCATGATTTTGACCCGTTCTGAGGACACTCCCATCCACCAAAATCACCATTTCAGCTGAGACTTGTCACGAAAACAAAACCGAGCTTCGATGCGACGTCCGGAAACGCAAATCTCAATGGCACGGCCACATCCAACACCACTCCCCAAACGCTAATCCCAATGGAACTGCGCAGAAAACTGCGGATCTCACAAAACGCTGCGCCTGCGCAGTGAAATCAACCTCCACACTTCAACATCTTACATTTCCACACGTTTCCACGCTATTTCACACGAATCTGACACGTCACGTTTCCATCCGAAACCCTCTCCAAAAGCTTCCCCCAATGGCAGCGCCTTAGCGCCCTACCGCGAACGGTTGCGAACGGTTGTGGACGTAGAAACAGCGGGTCGCGAACAAGGCTCTACCCCCAGACCCCCATCAAACGAGAACCCTTCGCTACGCACTCGGGAAAAAGCAAGGAACCACCAAGTGAGACCCCAAATTCAGGAAAAACAGATCAAAGCAGCGCAAAGCACAGGGTTTTGTAGGGAAGACACTCAGGCTCCGTGTGTTGATCACACCAAAGGACATAAAGCATGTGTTTTTAAAGCAGGGTTTTGGTGGTTGGGTGATTTCCTCATGCTCAAAAATGCAAACAACTACAGTACACGTTCAGTTTCCGAACCGGAGGGATGTTTTTGTGTGCAACTTGTGGATAGACAGCCTCACCATTAGCCAAGAGAGGGCCACCTATTTTGGATGCTTGTTCTGTGAGCCGAGGTTTATTGGAAAGTGCGTGTGCATGCCAGAGATAGTTGTCTAGACGCTAGAACAAATTATGTGTATTCCTATGATTCGGACTTTTGACGGCACTGGCTATGGCACAAGGCGCCAGGAGGCCATCCGCCGTTTGAAACTGGGCACAGCCTGTGCAGCACAGAAGCGCCAAAACTGGCGCTGAAGATCAGTTTTCGCCTGTGGCACTTGGCTGCACGAACGACGCGGTGCGATGCTTGTAGCGCTGCGGACAAAAGATGCGCAACATGTGATTGGTCAAGGCGAAGGCTTTAAGACGTCAGTGTTTTGTCGGGGAGCGATCAGTGCAGATCTGATTGTTGCTTAGTAATTCTTTTTGTTGAAGAGGAGCATTGATTATGGACAATCCCATTAGACAGACATTAGACATTTGTTCCACCTGGAGATGATTGGTCAAACAAAGCGCTGGTTGATAACTTGGCTCTTGCAGCCACAGGAAATGGCAACCTGACCTGACCCAATTCTTTGCCTTGCTGCCTGTTGCAGGCTATTGCCGTGCCAGCTCAGGGCCAGGTGGGGCAGTCGAGAAAACAGATCAGGTGAATGGGAGAGGAAGATGCAACTTACAGTCTGGAAGTAGAAACGTTTGAAGACTGGAGTAGTTTGAGAGGAGCTTACCAGCGGACCCTACGAGACAGATGTCATATCAATTCATATCAGGTGCTGCATGGTGTAGACAAAGAATGGATGAATCCAACACAATTGATTGCATTCACAGATTCAAACTGACATCGGAAGATCCCCGCCCAACACACACACACAAGCTTAAACCTTTTATGTCTAAGCTTGTGTTGTTGGATCATACATCATTTCTTGCCAAAGTAGCGACCTTCGCGTTAGGTGGACACCTTCAAGCCCTTTGAGCTTTCCACCATCCTGTGGTGCCATGCTCAAAATCGATACTTTGAGACCGGAAGCTTGGTGGTTAGGGTTCGCTATTCGTTGGGGTCCCCATTGTAAATCTATGATCTTGCTAGCTTCACCGCTTCACCCTGGGATGCAACCGACTCTTAAGATTGTTGGACAACGCTTTCCATCGATGTGATGCTGTGTCAAGGTCATATGGGAAGATGAGCCTAGCAAATCAAGATCTGTGCAGCTGTGGGGCGCTCAGTTTCGGACTCTTGTCAATGGACTTAGCTATATAAGCTAAATACACGTCAAAGAGACATCACATCTCAGTCATGGAGTGGAAGAACAACGCACTGTATGGAAAGCTTTAAATGATTTTATATGGGAGCCGTCAGCATTGTTTGCTTGATCGTTGGGTTGCTTTTTTCTTATATCTGCGTGTTGAAGCACCTTTTGACGTTAAAATACAATCGAACCCCAGCGGACTGCGGAGGCGCTCAACCACTTTTCAAAGCGGCAGCTGGCACTGTTCCAAGACTGCTGGAGGATACAATACAGTTAACAGTCACGCCTGATGAATCACCAACTTGAATACTTCTCGAATCAAAAGTGCAAAGCTCGTAGACCGACCTGCTTTACCAGGACTTTACGCTGAGATGTCTCGTGACCATTGCCTGGTCATTTGCAGCTTACAGGCGTTTGCACGAAGTATTGCGTAGGGCACACAGCAACACCTGGTGAAGATGCCGCCGTGTTTGGCTGCTCCAGCAGTCAAGTTGGTGCCCTCCTTCCATGTAGATGAAGACTGGTGACACTGTAGTGGCCTCCTTCATTGAGGGCCCTGTTGTGCAGGCACAAGGAAGAGCACCTTTTCCAAGCAATCGGCGATCACTTGATCTCACAGGCGGGAGATGGAAGAGGACTCCAGAGGAAAGATTTGGCCGAGGGTGTTTTTCAGGCTTTGAATCAATAGATGTGGAAGCGTGAAGGATAGTTAAAACATGCTGCAATCTTCTGATGAAGCTAGCAAAAGGATGGGAACCATGGCCCAGCAACATGCAGTGTGCCAGTGTGCACTCGATTTCCAAGGCTCTATCTCGACATTGGGTTTGTCCGGTTCAGGTCCACACGGCGAACTGCGGTGAGCTGGCCAACATTGTGTGAGATCCCAGCACCCCTTCGCGATAAGATCGACTTACGGTTGCATTGCCGATAGTATTTTGCCCAGTTTGTTCTTCAGCGATCGAAGATGTAGTTTGTGTAGTCTATTTTGGATGACTTGTGGGAGATCCCCTGAGTTTAGAACATGCGAGCTGGCTTTCCTTAGCTGCTTAGAGCCAGTTCTACAGGGAAGCAACTTTCTTTTTGCATTGACTCTTGCACGCATTGTTCCTTCAAAGCTGTTTCGGAGCAAGTCAAGTCGTTGAGGCTTGGGCCTATGGACTTCTGCAGATACACCATGAGAGGTGCCTGTGGTTTCTTTTGTTTCCACTTTTGGAGTAATGAGTGCAGCAAGCAGGTCCTTTGGTGCTCCGGCCCAGGTTATTCCAAGAAGTCGCACGCCGGGCAAATGTTCGATTGCAGGATTTCAAGCAACAGGCTGGGTGCAACAACAGCTTAAAGAGGAACATTTTGTATGTATTTCCGAGACGTTTCAATCTTCAATCCTTTGTGGTGTAAGTTCACTTTTTTTTCCGCTTCCGTCATATGCTTGAGAAGCGCAAGGAGATTGCCAGCATCATTTGGGGTTTTGCTGCCAGTGACATTCTTCCGGCTGCTGGCTACTGAGTGGACTCGGAGTCGTCAATAGATCGCTGCTTGCAGTTTCACCCCAGACTAAGGCGTTCTTTAGCAATGCAGCGCTTGCTGCCCAGCGACTGGCTGGGATCTCGGTGAAGGTACTTTCAATTCATGTCCCAGGGCCCAGAAGATGAGGTTCCAATTGATTATTTGATGGGCAGAATCATCAGTGCACCCTGAAGATAGCTTCTTTTTTGGAGACTCTTGTCGCAAAATATATGCACTGAATTCGGGCTTCTTGGAACACATCGTTGGCATTCCTTGTACTGAGAGAGTGGAAACAAGTTGTACCAAATTGCCATAAAACTACTCCTCTTGTATTTGCTCTTGGATATTTGGATTCGTCTAGGGTCCTACTCTGATGAAACTGCGCGGGAGGCCTTGACGCCACAGCAGACCACCAACATTTTGCTGATTCCTTAGGATTCGGAGCATTCGGAGTTCGGGTCAAAGGGCCAAAGTTGTTCTGTCGTGTGTCGGATGAAATCGGCCAACAGTGGAGGTGTAATCATGTTGAATCTAGGGATCTCCATGCGATCTCCAGTGAATGAGTTCCTGTAGTGAATGTCTTTGAGCCACCTCGCCTTTGAAAGTCACTTCGCCCCGTTTGAGCCTGAGGTGGGCTCTCACACGCAGAAGATGCAAACAGAGTTCTGTGTGGGGCGCCACAAGATGTTGCTGGACATACTGAACACACAGCGGTCGGAGACATGCATGGGCTGACATGAGTAATTTTCGAGATAGAGATTTGACAAGATAATCAACATGTTTAGACCCGAACAATATGTGACAACCAAATTCTGGAAGCCCGCTTCTGAATCTGTTGGACAACTGAGTGCATGGCCAAAAGGAGGTTCCAGACATCAGCACCAAACCCACCAAGGGCCACAACAGTGCTAGCTTTGCTGCCGCCTGCCACCAAGCAGATCGAAAGGCCGGAGGGTGAAGACTAGACCAGCCATCGGTTGTTGTCGTTGTTGCTGCTGCTACTGCTGCTGCTGCTTTGCCACAAATGACAACCACAAATCCCAGATTCCTACATGATGTGTTTGTACCTCTGAATGCAGGTTCAATATGCCCGAGATTGCCATTTGTTCGATGGCTGCAGCCAAGGCGACTCCGCTTTTGTTTTGCATCAAACCAAGTATTGTAGCTCCAACCATGCAACCATCCTTGATTTGCAATATCATTGCAGAGCTTCGTGTTGATGCAGGTGGTGAAGCATGCTGAATCAAGCAAAGCAGGCAGCAGCAGCAGCATGGTGCTGGCACTGACTTTGATTGAACTCTGGGCAAGCATCACTGTGATATCGGTCCCGGTTTCTCCTTGTGCAAGGCTTTTTTCAGCGGACCCCAAGGTAAGAACCTACAAAATTTCCCCAAACAGTATACTGTTGGGGTTCTCTCTTACTAGTAGGAAATTATAGAACTGGCCATACTGGCTGGCCGCGCCCCTGAAATTGTGTGGCCAACCCTGTGTCCTCCTTTTGTCCTCCTGGTGCTTGCAGTTGTCCTGCTGTTGTCCTCTGGCCGCGCTGGCCAAGCCTCTGTAATGCTTTTTGTCCTCCTCTTGCTCCCCAAGCAATATACTGTTCGGGTTCTCTCTTAGCAAAAGAAAGGCTGGCCACAGTCACTGGCCGGGCTGGTGAATGCTGTGTCCGGGCGTTGTCCTTCTGTTGTCCTCTTCTTGTCCGCCTGTTGTCCTCTTGTCCTTCTTCTGGTGTGCAGCTTGGCCGCAGTTTTTTTGACCTCTTCTTGTCGTCGTGTTGCCCTCTTTTTTACACCAGCGTGGCCGCGGCTGCCAGCCAGTCTGCAGACCTTGTCCTCCTGTTGTCCTTTTTCTGTCAGTCCTCTGTCTTTTTCTCCTCTTGCCCTCTTCTTCTCTTGTCGTCCTCTTCTTGCCCGCCTGTTGTCCTCTTCTTGTTCTCCTGTTGTCCCCTTCTTGTCCTTCTGCTGGTGTCCAGATGGCTGCATGGTAGCATGCAGACATGACACCATGACAGCGCGCACGAAGCACCGCCCTCAAGCGCAATCAAAGGCGAGAACATCAAGAAATAATTGCACACGCGCAAGCCTTCTGTGTCACCTACTGTAGTCGGAAAGCGCCAGCCGGCAAGCGCGAAGACCGCAGTACCGCAGCATAGCCACGTGGCAGACAGTGTGTAAACACATGACAACATGCGAGCGTGCGCTACAAAGCGGTGAGGCACCAGGAAGACAAGCAACCCCAGAAGCCGATGTCCTCTCCTTGTCCTCCGTTCTTCTGTTGCCTTCTTGTTCTCCTTCTTCGGGTCTTCATTAGCCGCGGCTGCTAGCCTATCTCCGGTCTTACTCCTCCCATCATCGTCTCATCGCCTTGTCTTTCTCTTATCTTCTCTTCCCTTTCTCCTCTTGGTCTTTTCTTGGTCTCCTCTTGGCATGCTCTCCTCATGTTGTCCTTTTGTTCTTTTGGTGTAGCCCGCTTGTCCTTCTTTTGTCCTCTTGGTGTGTTCGTGTTGTTTTCCTTCCCTCATCTTTTTGTCTTCTGTTGTCCTCCTCTAGTCTTTCTGTTGTCCTGCTGCTCTTGCACTCTTCACTTTGCTTTCGAAGGCAGGGACCGGGGCTGCGTCCGCTCACGACAACAATAATTCTTGCCAACTGAGCTGTTTGGGGTTTATGTTGGTATAATCCTTTCACCCTTTCCTTTTGCTTCATCCGTAGTTGGTCAATGCAGCTCTATGCCTAAACTTTTCGCCAGGTGCACCGAAGGTTGCGAATGCAATGGAGTTTTGTGTTAAGGCAATGCAGCAGGCGGATGTGGATGGCTCACATGTTGTTGCATTGATTTTGGGGCCTGCTATCCGGCAAGTGGGTTGGTATGGCCGCAGCAGTGAAGAGTGCTATAGCAGTCAAGGTGATCACCTTCGGCTTGACAAAATCACACCTTCATCTTGGGGAGGCACTCAGCAGGCTCAGTGAATTGTCCAATACAATGCTGGTGAATCTTGCGGCGCTCGGAGCCCAACTTTGATGTCCACGAGGTATGTATGTATATATTTATATTATGTGTACAATGTACTGTATATATTAAAATGAGACGAATGCATTGCACCTTTGAGGACGATGGACAGCCACACATCCTCACTTATCCGTAATATCCACATGTGCTAAGAAGTTCCTGTTGGACAGTTCCGCTTGTGCCAAGGGCCTTCCTGATGGTTGGTTGTCCTGGATCCGCTGTGACCTTGGAGTCACTTTTCTTTTGTGTCAAGATCCATTATACATAGCCTTTTCTCAGATCTTTTTCTGGGGAGTGTCAAGAACATCCCTACAAGTGTCACATAAAAGTGACAGCTTTGCCATAGCAGAGACTCAGGTTGTGCTGTTGGCAGCAGCTGGAAGAGAGGCCTCACACGTGCTGAAGCAGCAGGGTTGTTGGACATGGGTCCTGCAACACCAATGCCAATGAGGGTTGAGGGCACACACACAGAAAAGAACTCTGCATCCACAGGTAATGATTGTGAGGTTGTTTGATGTAAGCCTTCTCATGTCCTTATTTGAATCCTAATCGTCAAAAAGCACCTCCTCTTCACACAACTCGCAGCTCGAGCATGTGCTCAAGAACAAAATCCTCCCAGAGTTCAATGCCCTTCGCTGGGAGATAGTGTTGCCCCAAGTCAAGTTGGCCAGACTCTGCTTTTCGTTGGCATGGACAGCCCCTCTCCAGAGCTCCCAACAATCAATCAGACCGAGTCCGCACCAGAGAGTGCAACGGAGGAGGCCTCAGCAAATGTGGAGTCCTTAAACAGCTCGACCGCAGCAGACAAAGCGAACGTAAAGACGACAACTTTGTTGCAAGCTTTGGGCGACCAGAGCAATCGGGATGTGGCAAAGCAGTTTGCTGGCTTCTCTTCCGCTCTCGCGCTCCTGCCGGTCATAGGCCTTTTCTTGACGGAGTACCTTCTACGAGGCTTTGTGTCAGATTCCAACTCCAGGTGGATGTACAGTGCATTTGCTGCAGTGATTCTGGTGAACGTGGTCCTGGTGGCATTTGTAGTGCACTGCTTTGCAGAAGGTTTTCCAGATCAAAAGATGTCCGAAGTAGACACAAAGGCTGAGAAAGAAATTGGAGGTGCTTGCACAGAGAGAAAGATAGAAGAAGAGGAGCCGAAGAAAGACAAGTGAGAACGCTGGTGCAACAACTGCTGATCAATCAAATTGGAAGGACGCTGCGCTGCTCTCAACATGCACACCATGCACATCCATGGATCTGGCATGGAGAAACGGTTTTCAGCTCTATGCCGGCCTGAAGCAGCTCTAAGAAGAACGAAGCAGCAGAAGCCCGTGTGGATTTTGATGCAGAATATGTACAGATCAACAGGACGAAATGCCCTTGCAGACAAATGGCCGTGGCAGATGGTAATCTATCTTCTTCCAGAAGCGGCAAGATTGTTGAAGGGATTTCACTTAGGACAGCTAGGGACCTTCAGGTTCATAGACTCCAGACTTGAAACAGTGCTCCAATTCTTTGGCCAGGCACTTCATCGACTGCAAGTGTTGGAGAACCCTGTGCTCCTACACCTGATCAGGACCCGACAAATGAACACGGAAATGCATTCTAGAAGGAGACCTAAGAATTGTTGTCTGTTTCAGAGGTTAGTATAATGTCCAACCATCATGTTACATGTTACTCAGTTTTCTCTATTTGCAATTGTCAGCTTCCACCCAATGCACACGCACACACACACACACCGCACACACACAGACGCTTTTAATCTATACGGTTTTTCAACTCTTTTAGAGACCCGTGGTTGTTCCAAGCTCCGGGTGGAACAATTTCGGAACCTCAGGGTCTTCTCGGTGGACCTCGGGACACTTCAGCCTCCTGCATTGCTGGAAGGCCGGTTGGTCGTGCTGTTGCCTTTGTCTCCACGTTGGAACGGAAAGGGGCTCGCACTTCTTTGAAAGAGGGCAAGATGTTCCTTTGGATTCAGGTGTGTATTCTATGGATTCTAACACCTGCTTGCCTTGTGGCAGAAAAAAAACTGAAAGAAGCTTTCATACAAAAGCACAAGAAAAGTCGAAGCTGCTTGCTAGATGCCCTGAAGATCTGGTGCTGGGTTATGGAGTCCCTAAAATCATACCCACTCAGACTAGTTCATAGCGCTTTCAAGTTGCCAACTCAAGAATCGGCCTGCCCGTCAAACTGTGGCCAGCATGAAGTCACTCCGAGTTGCCAACATGAGGTGATCCGAAGGGCAGTGATGAATACTGTTAACAACATAGTATGACCAAGGGGATGACACCTCTAAAACAGCGCACTGATGTGATCTGAGGTGCCTGCCAAGGCATGTTCCGAGCCTTATTTGCAGAGGCTGCCCGGCGCATGGACTCCTTCAAGCCCAGGGTCCGGAACTTATGGCATTTCTTGTGGCGCATTTCTTAGGACACCAGACATGGTTAGATTTGACCAAGGGTTGCCATGTCATGTCTGCTTATCAGTTCAATACATTTTAATACCTTTATCTTTCTCTCTGGTTCACATTCTGGTGTGGCCTGAGGAGATGCAAAGCCTCTCCGTCCTGTGTGCACAGCCGTTGGGCCTCGAGAATGCAGGCGATATGAGCGCTGGAGATTTGCGGAGTTCGGCCCTTAGGATGAATACACTGCACAACTGCTGTGGCTCCACTAATCACTCCCCAAGAGTGTCCACTTGCATTTTCCTACAATGATGGATTGCATCCATGATGGCTCAAAATACACAAACGTTTTTTGGTCCTCCAAATTAAGATGAGCCCACGAGGTTGCTGCTTTGCTCTGGCCACGACTGGAAGCCCAGCACACCAGCCCCTGAGCCTGTTGGATGAGCTCCTGGAGGAATGGCCACTCCAAAACAACACTCGGAGTCTGGTGTCACTATAGATTGCAACGCATTGTTCATGGCAAAATATGCACACAAATAAACACATGGATTGTGCTTGTCGGCCAATCTCCAGGAGGACCAAGATCTCTTCTGGGATCCTGATCCTGTTGAGGCCGCGAACCAATAAGTGAAAAAAGCAAACAATAAGGTAAGGACCCCTTTGATAAGGCACCTCCAACGGGCCTTGTTGAAGGGCCCCTTTCTTTCTTTTCTATTCCCTTATTCAGCCATTCAGCAATTAAGTCAATGAAACACTTCTTTGGCTTCTGAAGGCGAACATCTTTCAGTTACCAATCTGAAGGCACCAAGACGACCGACCCCGAGCACAAGTTCTATGAATATGCAACCAATGGTAGCTCCAGCAGGTGGGCTTTGGTGAATTTGCCATCTTTCCTGCTGCTTCTGTCAACTTTTCGTTGTTTTGGACCTTCGATGAGATCGTGTTGTTTGCTGATGCTGAAACCCAACCGATCTTGTCAGCTGAACTGTGCTCCATGTTGGAAACCTGCCCACCCATGTGCTGCCTTTGCTTGGAAGGAATACCATTTGTGCAGCCCGTGGTTGGTTGGACACCTCCAGTAGCTGCTCTACAGCAACTCGGCTAAGAGTCAGTAGGTGGATCAAAAGATATCAAACAATTCGAGAATATTAGAGATTCAATTTGTGGTTTGTTCTCTAATAGACTGAGATTGAATTTGCCAGATTTGGAGCTTTTCTTGTTTTTGCATTGAGGCCGGAGATGACAGGTGTGTGGATGCCTGGAGTGACTGGAGTGTTCGTGATTGAAGAGCCATGAAGAGCCTGTGGTCAGGTCGATCAAGCTCTTTTTGTTACAGTACTAGTACTAGTAGCTTCTTGCTCCTAGTAGTAATGCCAGGAGCTACTAGTAGCGTCCTTGCTCCTAGTAGTGATGCCCTTTGTTACTAGTAGCGATGCCCTTGTTTCTAGTAGCCAATTTCTCTCATCGTCCTCTCGATCAGTAAGGCACCTTCAATCAACTTCCTCACTCTCATTCACACCGATCCTAAGGCTCTGCCTGGTTGGCCACAGCCAGGCGCACTGCGCTATGATATCGAATTGATTCCAAATCTTGTAAACTGACTCAAAATGGAAGCTTGCAAACTTAGTGGGAGAGACATGTCGCTTGGATTTTCATCCACAAAACCTTACTTATATATAGATTTTGCTGCAAGTTTTTGGCCTCGGCTTGACTTAGTAGCATTGGAAGAAAAGAATACTATGACTAGGGCCTTATTGGAAGACAGGAAGACTATGACGAGGGCCTTTCAACTTTACTTCATCACATGCACAACTGTTTTGCACCATGCATTTGTTTTTGTCCAGCCATGCGGAATCCTGTAACGTCTGTGGGTTGATGTGATGACCGAAACCAAGCGATCCTTCTACCCTCCTCCCAAGTCCCGCCGTGAGTCGCCTAAAAGTCCAACTCTTCAGAGGCATGAGTCAGCGCCCAATTTGAGCCGGCGACGGCGGTGGGAGGCAGAGAAGGCGGAGAAGGTTGAGAAGGTGGCAAAGGTTGAAAAGGTGGAGATGGGCCTGCGACGAGAGAGCTCCTGCAGCATCTCAAGCTCTGAGTGGGCTGGAGGATTGCGGTCACGTGCATCCGAGAACAGCTCAAATGGATCAGGCTCCAGCATCAAGGGAAAAGGGAAGGGCAAAGGCAAGAGACCTTTGCACCAAGATTCAGAATCAGACTCTGAGATTGTAGAGCTCTCAGCGGTCGTGACAACATCGCTGGAGGTGCCTTTGAGAGTGTTACGTTCCTCTTGGAAAGCCCCTGTTGCAGAGGCATCCACTGCTCGAATTGAGGTAGATGCCAGCCGCCGAGATGGCTTTGGACGAATCACGATCGTGGGGAGCTGGAGGCAGAGTTTCCTTGCTTATCAATGCCTGATGGAGCTCTTTCACAGAGCTTCCAATCATGCCTCGCAATCTTTCAATGCCAAACCTGGTCCGCGCGTTTGGCGGGGCAAGGCTCAGCAAAGCTAGTCGCCAAGATGAATATCTCTCAAAGTGGCATAAAGTTGCCCGTCATCCAAGGTGGCAATGCAGTTGGAGAGCTTGACCAAGTCGAGGAGGTTATTTCCACCGAGGCCGTCCTGGAAGATTATTGCCACAACCACTTCGGAGCCTTTCGGAGAAGCTTTTCTCATCCTATCTGCGTGAAGTGCCGAGGAAAAGTGATGCTGTCGATGGCTGGTGTTTCTTTGATTTTCTGATCGCGTTGCCTTCTCTTAGGTGATCGCACTGGATTTGGAATCACTCAGTAGCTGTTGTTCAAGTGCAGTCTCAGTAAGTGGCTTCCCATCAGCGCCTGAAGGCATGTTCGCTGCAGGATATCGGCCGCAACAGGACAGCAAACAATAGGAGCTTGACCATCGTAACGTGGCTCGTAATTCGGATTGCAATGCATTAAATGCAATGCATTGGTGTGTAAAAATGTATATACATTACTTAATTTAGATTAATGCATCGGTACCAATGCAGCTTGCTGTGGAATGCGTTCGCTTGTACCTGCAGGACATAGGCGTGAACATGCCTGGTCCGGCCGGGCCAGCCTGGCACTGAGAATGCGGTCCTGATGATTTCACTCTAGGGCTCCTGGCATCGCTACTAGGAACAAGGTTCGCTACTAGGGGCTCCGGGCATCGCTACTAGGAGCAAGGACGCTACTAGGGGCTCCTGGCCGTACTACTAGTAACAAGAAGCTACTAGGGGCTCCCGCGAAGGAAATGTTTTGCATCCAAAATGGAAGGGAGGTAACTCCCCTCGAATCCAGTCATGGTGACCATACCCAAGGTGTGGATGGAAGCCCATTCGTTTCGACTGTAAGAACTGAAACGCCCCTCGTGTGGGTCAAAGTTGGTGTACCATGTATACCAGGGATTGGATCCATCCGGGAACATCCCTTTCTTGAATCAGTAATATAACAGCTGACGGTTACTGTTATATATCTTCTTTCATCATCTCTTTTTTCCTTCTTTCACTCTGACCACAAGTCTCAGGCGCCCATGCATGGGGCGGACATGGAAAGGCCAGGCCATCAGGAAGTTTTGGCAATGGATTTGATCTTGGCATCGTTGTGCGGGTGTGTCTCAAACCAACGGGCCCTGGCAAAAGATCATTTTTTGGGGTGTATTTTCCATATATACTCCCTGCCCAAACGCACAGTAATGATTTGAACCTGTGATTCCAACGACCTTGGGCCTAACTGCGCTTTTGTGGAATCTCAACTTTTTGGCAGGCAGGAGCAGCCCAATGACCCGCTTGGGGACCCAGCTCTTAAAATCTCAAAAATTGCTCTTGACTGAATCGGGATCTGTCATCGGCTTACAGATATACAGCCTTCCCAGCAGTCACGCATGATCAACCGAGGCGGGCTCGGAATGAGTTTGTGTACTCTGTTTCCACGAAGAATACATTTCTTCACGTAGACGATGAGGAAGAAGATCAGGCGGGACTTGCCAAAGAAGTCAGGTCCTCTACAGCGCAACTGAAATCGTATGTCAGAGGTGTTGCCTGTTTTCTTGTGTGCACATTAACACATTTGTATTGAAACATCGAAGAGTGACACACACGTCTTGAGAGTAGACGAATCCGCTCCCCAGGAGGACCTGAGTGGTGCTTCCCAGCCCTGGCTGTCAGAGGCGGGAAACCAAGATGTGATCCATGGATATCTCCTCCGCACCAAATCAAAGCACGTTGTCGACATCGTGGTGCCTTCAGGGTCTAACCAAGCAGTTACTGTAGCTTGTCAAAGATTCGTGGTTGGAAGTCTATTTTCAGGGCTTTGACCCACCCTTCAAACATGTTAAGTGTGTCGCTTGACTTGCAAGCTCCAGAGTGGCTATAGATCGTGGGACCGTCTTACGAGATTGGAACAGCTTTAGCCAGGAACCCCCAGTTGTTTTAGCTTGACCTCTTCTTTTGTCTATCCAAGCGGTACTGTATGTACATTTATAGTCAGTTTCAAAGACTTGCCGTTTGGCGCATGTATACGCGGAGATTGTATGTCAAGACCATGGTGAGAGCGTGCATGTCAAAATGCATATAGCATACCATGACTGCAGCCAAACCTTCAATTCACAAAAACCGTGTTCTTCATCAAACAAATGTGATTTCGACTGAGATTGATGATCAGCTAACGCACTGTGTCAAGACTATGGCCCAACAAACTATATAGATATATGATATATACTGTATTCAAAGATCCAAAAGAGCCCAACATAGAAATTTTGTTCCGGACAAGACAGTGGTAAAGGGAATTTCTTTGTGCCTGAACGCCAGCTTGCTGCCAAGACTAAAGCCAAAAAAGCTATCCATATCACCAAAGCACACCGGACAAGACAGCGCCCACAGTCACTGCATGAAGGACTTTCTGAAGCTAGTGGGTGCTCCAGTGTCAAGACAACAGGCCAAAGATTACAATTTGGCCTGCAAACCAATACTCCGGCCAATGTCAAGACTACTTTGGAACCGACACACTAGAGACAGACCTTGTGAGATTCAGCTGTGGAGTTCCGATGCGTTTCTGAGGCTTCACTGGGTCCACCACTCCAGTTCTTGCCCAAGGACGGGTTGGGAATTGTCCAATCCGTCGGCAGTTTAGCAGTTACACTCAGTGAGCATCTTGAGTTGAACAACTCTTGGCAAGTTGAGAGTGCTTCCCTTAGATTTGAAGCCAGTGTTGTTGCCAGAGTCCTGAAATGATACTGCTAGGTCTCCACACAGGTGTCTCTTGACATGTCTCTTGACCACTGAATCCTTTCCTCCAAAGGAACACACGTACAGTCCATTCTTACTTTCCAGCACAGGATATTGAGCTGAACGAGCTTCAAGCCTTCCGTGCAGATTATATGAAGTTCAGAGCAGGGCAGGCACAGGGACACAAGGAACCTGCCTGGGGAATGTCGAAGAGGTATCTTTTTTGGGAGAGGGGAAGTCGGAGAGAGCAGAAGTAGTCAAAGGCACCAAGGCAAGGCCTCAGGACTTGGGGCTGGGAGCAGAAGGCAAGAACCCTTGGTTCTTTCTTTTTAAAGAAAGCTTCGCCCTCAGAACCCTTGCAGCCCTCAGAACCGTGGGAACCTGTTCGAGGCCAACAGTATC